CATTCCTCTGCCTGCTTTTATTCTAGCCACACTGGCAGCTGATTAGATGGTGCTCACCAAGATTGAGGGTGGGTGGGCCTTTCCCATTCCACTGACTCAAATGTTAATCTTCTTTACAACACCATCATAGACACACCCAAAAACAATCCTTTACATTCTTTAATCCGATCAAGTTGACACTCAGTATTCATCCCAGTGACCTTATTATTTATTGCCCCAAAGGAGATGCTCTTGAGAGTGAAAGGGGAAGCTATTAATAATTTGCTGGTAAAAGAGGTGTAACCTGGGATGTCACAGGCAATTGGCACATATGGCCAATCTGCTAATAGAGCATTAAAGCCATGTGATAATGCTGCCCAATGCAAACTTTGAAGTGCTAATACTGGTAACTGACAGACTGACATTTTGTGGGAGTGAGCAGGGGAATGGTGATTAGTACAGTCTAATTCAGTGAGCACATCAGCTCCATTGGCTTGTTAGCTGGAAAATGTTCTAGCACCATCTAGATTCGACTCTTACAAGCACTTAACTGTCTTCATCACTGGGGACTATCACAAAGTATAGAATTCACAGATATGGAACATTTTGACTAGTATCACTTGACTGGCCACTCACTCATGTTGTTTTCAAAAGTGGGATGCCTGGTTACTTTGCTGAGCCTGTGAGATGATGAATGGGAAGGGTTGATGGTGACAGCTTAGAGGAGACCCAAGACCCAGAGGGTGCTCTGCATTACAAACTCACCTCCGCACACCTTTGAGGTTTCAATTAACATGATTTTTCATTTCATAGAAATTTTAGCCACTCATAACTACTTTAAACTGATTAAATCTCATGATTAGATTAATTCTACTTCCCTGTCCTCTGTGAGCAAAGGAGCTGCTTAGGGGTGAGGGGAAGAAGAGAGTGAGAAGATACTCATGGAGAGGTTGTGAAAACTGATAGTGAATTGGAAAATGTGGGGCTTTCTGAAGGAGTGCAGGGTAAGATAAGGTGTTGCTGTGCAGGGCTTTGTGAAATTTGAGAGCCTTGGTCTATAGTCCGTTCACAGATTATTTGCAATCAAAGTAGAGATAAGAGATGAGGATTTTAAAAAGTAATAAACTTTACTTTTCAGTTTAGTTTTAGGTTTAGCAAGATTGAGCATAAAATGAGAGAGTTCTGATATATTCCTCCCTCTCCCTCAAAATGGACACCCTCCCTCACTATGGACATCCTGCCGCACAGTGGTACATTTGTCACAGTCAATGAACTGACGCTGACACCTCATTATTGCTGGGAGTCCATCGTTAACATTAAGGCTCACTCTTGGTGTTGCACATTCTGTGGGTTTAGATGAATGTATTATGACATGTATCCACAATTACAGAATCCTACACAGTTGTTTCACTGCACCCCAAATCCTCTCTGCTCCACCTATTCATACCTTCCTCTCCACTAGATCCCAACAACTACTAATATTGTTATTGTCTGCATAGATTTGCCTTTTGTAGAATGTCTTGGAGTTACATAAAATGTAGCCTTTTCAGATTGGGTTCTTTGACTTAATAACATGCATTTAGGTTTCCTCCATGTCTTTTCATGGCTTGTTAGCTCATTTTTTTTTTTTTTTAGTGCTGAATATTTTGTTGTCTGTAGGTACCAGTTTATCCATTCACTTACTGAAGGAAATCTTGGTTGCTTCCAAGTTTTGGCAAGTATAAAGCAGCTGTAAGCATTCGTGTGCAGGTTTTTGTTTAGACATATGTTTTAAATTCATTTGTGGAAATATCAGAGAGCAGAATTGCTGGATCAAACGGTAAGACTGTGTTTCATTTTGGAAAAAAACTGCCAAACTGTCTTCAAAGTGGCTGTACCAGTTTGCATTCTCACCAGCAATGAACGAGAGTTCCCACCACACCACATCCTTGCCAGCATTTGGTGTTGTCACTGTTTTGGATTTTGGCCTTTCCAACAGCTGTGTAGTGATACCTCATTGTTGTTTTAATTTGCAATTCTCTAATGACGTGACGTTGATCATCTTTTCTTGTGCTTACTTGCCACCTTTATCTTCTTTGGTGAAATGTTCGTTCAGGTTTTTTCCCATTTTAAAAATCAGGTTGTTTGCTTTCTTATTGTTGAGTTTTAAGAGTTCTTTGTATATTTGGATAACAGTCCTTTATCAGACGTTAGACTTTTTATATAACGTTTTCTTTATTATTGATTTTTCTTCTGGGTTATGCATCCCATTGATTAATTATGATTAAGCAACCACAAATCTCAACTTTGTCTGCTGCGATGTAAAGGGGAGGTAGAGCTGAGTTTGCCAAATTTAAAAATGTTTTGCAAAAAAGGGAATGGATATGGTTAAAAGGAGGATGAAACAGGGAAAATGAAACAAGTTAGGCTTTTAATAAATCCCTTGTTAAAATAAAATTGCCTCTCTAATAAAGCACATGGCAGCCTTTGTGTGTGTGTGTGTGTGTGTGTGTGTGTGTGTGTGTGTGTAACATTGGAAAACCATAGTTTTCTGTCCTGATTTAGACTGGGATCTTTTCAATTCTTTCTGAGGTATTCTCAAGGGAGTTTCTGTGAAGCAGGTTTTCGATCAACTTGCAAGATTAGTTTTGCCCAAGTTTAACTAAGTCATGCTTTCTCTTCTATCTCAGCAGAAGCATATTTGATTGAAAGCTGAAACAGACCAAATGTGGGATGTGCTTTTTAAGAAGGTAGGTTTGAGATGTTAAGAAATTAGTTTTATAGTTTTAAACAGTTTCACATTTAAACACCAAAATGTTTGAGTACTTGGGCTTTCATTTGGATAATTAGACTATCGTGATCTATCTTTCTTCTCAACACCTGAGCATGTGGGGCCTGGAGTATAAATTTGACAGTTACAATTTAATGATTTATTTTTCCAACACATTGTCTTGTGCCATTATTTAACTTTCCAAGTTTTCCTGCTTAATCTCTACAACTGAAAGAAAAACTCTTGTGAATTAGGGTTCTGCAGAAAAGCAGAGCCGATAATATAGATATATGCATGCATAGATAGAGAGAGATTTATTTGAAAACGTTGGCTCACAGAATTGTGGCAACTGGCAAGTCCAAAAATCTGTAAGGCAGGCTGGATAGCTGGAAATTCAGTTAAGAGTTTATGCTGCAATCTTGAGTCTGAAATCTGCAGGGGAAGCCAACAGACTGGAAACTCAGGCAGAATTTCTATGCTGTGGTCTTGAGGCAGAATTCCTTCCTCTTTTGGAAACCTCAGTCTTTGTTCATCAGGCCTTCAACTGATTGGATAAGGCTCATCCACATTACGAAGGATAATCTGCTTTATGAAAAGTCAACTAATTGTAAAGGTTAATGACATCAGAAACATACCTTTACTGCAACATCTAGACTAGTGTTCGACGAAACAGCTGGGTACCATAGACTACCCAAGTTGACATATAAAACTAACCATCCCATCTTGAAAACAGGAATTGTAGCCTCTACTTCTTTGTGTTCACCATTGTTTATTGTCTACTGAGTGAGTACATCCTGAGTACAGTAGCACCCCCTTATCTGTGGAGGATATGTTCCAAGACCCCCAAGTAGATGTCTGAAACTGTGGATAGTAACAAGCCCTACATATACTATATTTTCTTCCCATACCTACATACATATCTATGACAAAGTTTAATTTATAAATTATGCACAGTAAGAGATTAACAGTAATACCTAACAATAAAACAGAACAGTTATAACAATAGATTAAAATAAAATTTATGTGAATGTGATCTCTCTCTCTGTCTCAAATATCTTAAGATTTTCAGATCACAGGTAATTAAAACCACAAAAAGCAAATTCTGATTTACTACTGTAAATTGACAGTGGTTAAGTAAATATTGAACTTAGGTATAGTACATTAATTTATCTTCTGAAAATTATATGCATAGATTCTTATATGAATATGCCAGTGATATCCAGTATAATTTTAAAATATTAAATGTACAGATAGGAAATACCAACACTGATGCTTAAAAAATTAACCTCAAATAGAGAAATGGAAATGGGAAGAGCATGAGCAATTGCAGGTGGTAAAAACAGTGAGGAGACCTACCTGCCTTGAGGGAGGTGTGTGTGGGAATGCTTGAAGTAAAACTGACTACGTGGAGGTTGCAATACTGTGGAAGCCACTGGTTATCAAGTGAAAAGATTTTTGCCTAAATGCATGGTGGCCACCGAAGTATTTTGAGCAGGAAAGTGATATAATGACAGTTTTTTAAAAAATGTAATCTGGGTCAAATGGAATTTCTATTTCTAAGGCCTTGAGGAATCGCCACACCGTCTTCCACAATAGTTGAACTAATTTACACTCCCACCAACAGTGTAAAAGTGTTCCTATTTCTCCACATCCTCTCCAGCATCTGTTGTCTCCAGATTTTTTAATGATCGCCATTCTAACTGGCGTGAGATGGTATCTCAATGTGGTTTTGATTTGCATCTCTCTGATGATCAGTGACGATGAGCATTTTTTCATATGATTGTTGGCCTCATATATGTCTTCTTTCGTAAAGTATCTGTTCATATCCTTTGCCCACTTTTGAATGGGCTTGTTTGTTTTTTTCCTGTAAAGACTATAAATCGTTCTACTATAAGGACACATGTACACGAATGTTCATTGCAGCACTGTTTACAATAGCAAAGACCTGGAATCAACCCAAACGTCCATTGATAATAGACTGGATTGGAAAAATGTGGCACATATACACCATGGAATATTATGCAGCAATCAGAAATGATGAGTTTGTGTTGTTTGTAGGGACATGGATGAATCTGGAGAACATCATCCTCAGCAAACTGACACAAGAACAGAAAATGAAACACCGCATATTCTCACTCATAGGTGGGTGATGAAAAATGAGAACACATGGACACAGAAAGGGGAGTACTAAACACTGGGGTCTATTGGGGGGAAAAGGGGAGGGCCAGTGGGAGGGGGGGTGGGGAGGGATAGCCTGGGGAGAAATGCCAAATGTGGGTGAAGGGGAGAAGAAAAGAAAGCACACTGCCATGTGTGTACCTACGCAACTGTCTTGCATGCTCTGCTCATGTACCCCAAAACCTATAATCCAATAAAAAATTAAAAAAAAAAATGTAATCTGTACCTGTTTAACAGTATTTGGAGCAGAAGTAAATGAGGCAAACTGTGCCAGTTTATGTCCTCCAAGAAGCAGATGCTAAGACAGAGTTAGACACGTGAAAGGTTTCTGGAGGAGAGTACCTGTGAAAGATGAAAAGGAATGGAGCAGCAAGAACCTGGGGAACTGCACTGTCTCACAGGGTGGGTAGCCAGTAGCCACATGGGACTGTGGCATTGAACATTTGCAATATGACCAGGTTGAGTTGAAATGTACAAAAAAGGCTCTGGATTTACAAAATTTAGTATCAAAAAACAAAAACAACCCCCACCCCCACATGTATGAGAATGTAAAATATCTCCTAAATGACTTCTAAAATATTGGCTGTAGGTTGAAATAGTATTTGAAAATAAAATATACCATTGGCAAGTATAAATGGTTATGCCTAAAATTTATTTTGCTTATTTCTTTTTACTTTTACAACGTGGCTACTTTGAAAATTTAAAATTATGTGTATGGCTTACTTTATATTTCTGAGTTAGTTTGGCTTCAGACCAAATTGTTGGTCTGATACTCATGAAAAGAGAGAGGGAAAAAAGATTAGGGAGGGAGAGTTGGCAGCACAATTCTAAGAAAGTTTTGGCCAAGCAATGGGGAGTCTCTGTTATGGTTTGGCTGTGTCCCCACCCAAAATGTCATCTTGAATTGTAATCCAAATTGTAATCCCCACATGTTGGAGGCAGGACCTTGGGAGAGGTGATGAGATCATGGGGGGGGGGGTGGATCTCCCCTATGCTAGTCTCAGGATAGTGAGTGAGTTCTCACAAGATCTGATGGCTTGGTAAGGGGCTTTTCCCCCTTTCACTTGGCACTTCTCTCTCCTGTCCCCATGTGAAGAAGGCCATGTTTACTTCCCTTTCTGCCATAATTGTAAGTTTCCTCAGGCCTCCTCAGCCATGCTGTACTGCAAGTCAATTACATTTCTTTTCTTTATAAATTATCCAGTCTTGGGAAATTCTTTACAACAGTATGAGAACGAACTAATACAGTCCTGAAGCAAAGGCTGGTCTTCAGAAGAATCCTTCATTCCCCAGGAATGGATCGACGCTAGTATCCTAACTATGCTGAGTCATTGGCTGGAACCATCTTGGGGAAAGAATGGCCTGGATGCTATAGCAGCAGTGGCTGCAAAGGGGCAACAGCCTGCGGCTGTCAGACAACTATGCAACCCACAGCGGTTTCTTTGGAAGGAGAGATGAGTACACCGAATTTTCAGGGCTACCTCCAAAACCAGCACAGACAGTTCCCAACTTATGGTGGTTTGACATGTGAATTTTTTCTGCCTTACAATGGTGCAAAAGTAACATTCATTCTGTACATTCCTTGATTTATGATGGGATTACCTCCGGATGAATTATTTTATAAGCTGAAAATATCCTAAATTGAAAACACAGTTAGACATAAGATACTTTCAACCTATCATGGGTTTACTGGGATGTAACACATTGTAAGTCAAGGAGCAGCTGTACTTCTTATAGTAATTCAGGTAACATCAGCTGGTTTACTTGCTAATGCTGTTAGGCCTGATGCCGTGCCTCTTTGATTATGTTTCCCGCCTTCCGTGTCTTATCTTGTGTGGCCCAGCCCCATTTGTGTGGAGAGCACCAACACTGAGTGCTACATGAGACCCATCCTCGGAAGCTCTGAAACTTCACTCTAAGCATGTTAACTTTCTAAGGCTCTGTGACGGGAAGTCAGACAAACTGCCTCTGGGGGCTAGGTTAATGTGATTGCTTTCTAAGGCTCTCCTGTGACACGACAGCTTGCTGTTCTGGAGCCATTACTCAGTCAAAGTTGAGATTGCTGACCCTTGAGGTCTTCTTTGATCCATCTTCTTTAAAAAAGACTAGTGAACTGAGAACACTAAAGAAGTTTGACGATTTTCATCCTAAATACTCAGTTTTAGAGATTATTCCCATAAAATGTATGCAACCTTTAAAAATGATTAGCCAGTCTTGGACAATCATGCACTGCATGAAGACATTTTAGTCAATGACAGACAGCTCTATGACTGTGGTCCCACAGATTATAATGGAGCTGAAAAATTCCCATCCCCTGGTGTCGTCACAGTCTTCATAACGTTGGAGTGCAATGGATTACTCATGTGTTTGTAACGGTGCTGATGTCAACAAACCTACTGTGCTGCCCGTCATTCAAACGTATGGCACATGCAATTATGTTCAGTGCATAATACTTCATCATGATAATAAATAGCTACGCTACTGGTTTACACATTTATTATCTTTTTTTTTTTTTGAGACGGAGTTTCGCTCTTGTTACCCAGGCTGGAGTGCAATGGCGCAATCCCGGCTCACCGCAACCTCCGCCTCCTGGATTCAGGCAATTCTCTTGCCACAGCCTCCCGAGTAGCTGGGACCACAGGCATGCGCCACCGTGCCCAGATAATTTTTTGTATTTTTAGTAGACACAGGGTTTCACCAGGTTGACCAGAATGGTCTCGGTCTCCTGACCTCGTGATCCGCCCGCCTCGGCCTCCCAAAGGGCTGGGATTACAGGCTTGAGCCACTGCGCCCGGCCTATTATACTATTTTTTTATCATTATTTTAAAGTGTGCTTTTTCTACTTCTGTATTAAAAAGTTAACTGTAAAACTGCCTCAGGCAGGCCCTTCGGAGATATTACAGAAGAAGGTATTGTTATCACAGGAGATGATAGCTCCGTGCATGTTACTGAAGAGCTTCCCGTGGGAGGAGATATAGAAGGGGAAGACAATGATATTGATGACCCTGACCCTGTGTAGGCCTAGGTGAAAGTGTGTGTTTGTGTGTTAGTTCTTAAGAGAAAATATTTAAAACGTGTAAAAATGAAACTTAAAAAATAGAAAAATCTTATAGCATAAGAATATAAAGGCCAGGTGTGGTGGCTTATACCTGTAATCCCAGCACTTTGGGAGGCTGAGCTCAGGAGTTTGAGGCTGCAGTTAGACCTTGTCTCTAAACCAAACAGACCAACAAACAAAAAAGAATAAGGATTTAAAGAAAAATTATTTTCATACAGGTGTATTAAAAGGTGTACAATGTGTTTGTGTTTTAAGCTGTTATGACAAAAGAGCCAAAAGTTAAAAAAATTTAAAAGTTTATAAGGTAACAAAGTTATAGTATGCTAAGATTATTTAGTATTGAAGAAATACCTGTTTGAAAACAAAGTTAATGTAAGCTAAGTGTACAGTATAAAGTCAACAGAAGTACTCAGTAATGTCCTCAGCCTTCACATTCACCACCACTCACTCACTGACTCACCCAGAGCAACTTTCAGTCCTGCAAGCTTCATTCGTAATAAGCTAAGCGCCCTAGACAGGTATACCATTTTTAATCTTTTATAATGTATGTTCACTGTATCTTTTCTATATTTACATACATTCTGATACATACATAGTTTCCATTGTGTTTCGATTGCCTGCATTCTTCAGGGCAGTAACATGCTACACTGGTGTATAGCTTAAGAGCAATAGGCTAAGTGTGTAGCCTCGTATAGCCTAAGTGTGTAGATGGCTGGACCATCCATGTTTTTTAAAGTGCACTCTATGATGCTTGTACAGTGATGAAATCACCTAACAACACATTTCTCAGAATGTATCCCTATTGTTTCGGTTTTGGTTTTTATTTTTGAGGCAGCATCTTACTCTGTTGTCCAGGCTGGAGTGCAGTGGTGCCGTCTCGGTTCACTGCAGCCTTGACCTCCTAGGCTCAAGTGATCCCCCCACCTCAGTCACCTGTGTAGCTGGGACTACAGATGTGCAGCACCATGCCTGGCTAAGTTTTTTGTTTTTTTGTAGAGATGGGGTTTCGCCCCATTGCCCAGGCTGGTCTCTAACTCCTGAGCTCAAGAGATCCACCTGCCTTGGCCTCCCAAAGTGCTGGAATTACAGGTATGAGTCCTTTTGCCCATATCCCCATTGTTAAGTGATGCATGACTGCTTGATAGTTAAGGTCTAATGAGAAATATCTGTCCTCAAGGAGAATGCAATCAAGCTCACGTGCAAATGCAGGAGATGACGCTTTCTCTGAGAATGATCCTTTTGTGAAAAAGCAGAGTGATTGCAAAGGGGTGGGGAGAGATTTAGATGCCGCGGTTTGTGATGAAGCAATCAGTGCTGGTAAGAAGGTGATAACGAAAGTTATTTTTTAAAGGTACGTTAAAATGTAACAACCATTTTTGGTTTACTTCTGAATTGTCATTTGCTCTGTGTGTGTTGACAGTAAACCTCCAAAGAAGGAAAAATGCTTGTGCCACAGGTGAGAAGCCCCACTAAGTGAGTCCCCCTCCATAAAGACCGGGATTATTCTGTAAACCCACAAGAGCTTTCTTAGTCATTCAAACACTCTAAATAAAAATGCATATGGTGGGTTTTTTTTGCCTGTGTACATTTTCCACAAATTTTCAATCTGTCAATATGTGTTTTACTCTCTAAATAAGACAGTACAATTAATGAATAGCTATGAGTGTATTATTTGAAAATCTATCAGGCTCCATCACTTACAGCTGGCAGTGTGGACGTGGGTAAGTTATGTAATCTTTCTAAGCCTCAGTGTCTTCAACTGTACATTAGAATGTTTATATACATTTAGAAACTGTAGTACTTAAACCATGTTATTGTGAGAATTACTTGAGATAGTGCTTGTAAATTTTCAAGATTGTGACTATCATATACTAAGTGCTTACATCTTAGCTTGAGAATCAAGGTGACATACTGGCCTTCCAGTCAAACTTTCTACCTGTTATTCTTGTAATGAAACTTCCAGACAGACAGACAGGCACGTACTGCCAGCCTGGCTGCTTGTCCCCATCTCAGTGTCTGGATTGGCCTCCTCTTTTCCTCCTTATACAAATGACTCATCCTTCACAGCTGAGCTAAGTTCACCACCTCCCTGAAGCTTGCTACCCCTAACCTCTGTTTCACAGGGCTCCTCCTCTCCTGGAGCTGGTGAGAGGTCAAGTACGGATTCCTGATCTGGAAAACGGTGCAAGTCTGAAGAGGAGAAGTTTCAGATAGAGCCAGGCAGGTTGGTACAATGCTCGTCTCTTTGGGGAATGTTTCTTGGGGAGGAATGTGTGAATTTACACTTCAAAAATTCTGTAAAGTCAAAACTCTCTTTTTCTTGGCATTTGAACTTATCTCAAGTTAGAGGAAACTTCATGTTGGTCACATGTGTTACATTCAGGATTACTGGTCATTTTACATTTTGTGATCCTATGTGTCACCTAATGCACTTGTCATCTTTTGGCTTTTCAATATCAACTCTCTTTTCCTAACACCATTTCAAGTACTGTTAGAGGAATCTCCTGTTCTGTAGCCTTGGTGATAGTGTCCAGGAGCACGGGAAATAGGTTTAGACAGACGCGTTTTTGTTGGAACTTCGGTCTTGACAGAAAGACCTGAAGTTGGTTAGGGCCCCTCCTTCACAGCAGTAGTGGTGGTCGTGTGCGAACCAGACATCCTGTGGGCCATTCTGCACTTTGACTGCGAGGGCCCAGCCTTCAGGACCTCTCCTGCCCCATCGTGGTTCCCAAACCTGATCCTGCTGCTTCCTGTTCACTCTGCAACACCAGATAGTTGAATAATTTCTCTTTTTTTCCCCTTAAAATGTACAGATTTAGTTTCTTTCACTTATGCAAAAGGACTTTGATAGTCCACTGTGGAAAGTAGTTTGCAGATTTCTCAAAGAACGTAAAGCAACTACCATTCAGCCTGGAAATCCCATTACTGGTTATATGTCCAAAAGAAATCATTCTACCAAAAAGACACATGCAATCACATGTACATTGCAGCACTATTCACGATAGAAAAGACATAGAACCAACCTAGGTGCCCATCAACAGTGGACTGGTGTAAGAAAATGTGGTATATATACACTGTGGAATACTTCACAGCCATAAAAAAGAATGATGTCATGTCTTTTGCAGCAACATGAATGCAGCTGGAGGCTTTTACTCTAAGTGAATTCACACAGGAGCAAAAAAACCAAATATCACATGTTCTCACTTATAAGGGGGAGCTATATTTTGGGTACTCATGGATCTGAATATGGCAACAATAGAAACTGGAGGCCTCTCAAGTCAGGAAGGAGGGAGTGGGGGAAGGGTGGAAAAACCAACTATTGGGTACTATGCTTAGTACCTGGGTGATGGGATGATTTGTACCCCAATATACCCTGGTAACAAACCCGCATCTGCACATAGAACTCCTGAATCTAAAATAAAAGATGAAACAAAAGAACTTTGGCTGATAAGAATGATAGTAATCATAATTACCATTGTTTTTATAGCAAGAAGCTTACAATTACTGAGCCCATTCAATATGCCGAGCACTATTCCAAGTGTTTGACATGTATTAACTCCCTCATCCCCATAATCATCGAGGTAGGCACTATTGTCATTATCCTGATTTCCAGATGAAAGAAGCTGAAATGCAGAGAGATTTCTCAGGTTCATGTAGCTAATAAATAGCCAAGTCAGGATTTGAAACAACACAGTCTCTTAATGACATATTCAGAAATTTGTATCAGGGAATAGTATTTTAGGTAACAGACTTACAAGGAAATGCGAGGAGTTAGAGACTGGTTCTCAATATGAGATAGAGTAGAAGAAACTGAACATCCTATTAGTTTCTGTGTTGGTAATCCACCGGTTCATGGCTTGCAGTGATAAGATAGCGAAGTAAATGATTGCCTGTGGACAGTAAGTCTGTAATCGAAGATTCACTGACAGTTCCAGTGGGCCATGTTGTGACCACCGCAAAAAACAGTATGAAAGATGTGAAAAATCAATAGGTGCTTCTTCTGATAATGCTGAATGGCTTAAAGCAGAGAATGATAAGCTCAAATCTCTAAATTCTCAGTGTAAGCCATGGACTAAAACACAGGGATGTTCTATTACCATGATGAAAGAATTCATTATCTTGCAGCTGTCAGGCTACAATAATCAAAACCCACACTCAGATTTTGATGCTGAAGGGTGCTAAATTCCCCATCAAGTAACTTTCCCACTAAGTATGTCACTTACATAGAATTGTAGACATTTGTCAGAAAAGAGGCGGTCCCTGGCCCTAAAAGGACTCCGATACCTGAGCAACCCATTCCGCACCTCTTATGGAGTTTCTGTTTCCCCCCCGCAAAAATCTCCCCTCTTTGGTCTGATAAGACATTTCTCTTTCTTGAAGATTCTATTGTTCTCTTGCCTGAGATAGTATCTTGAAAGATGAAAACTGTTCTCCACGTTCCCTACCTGTCTTACAGTTTACTTTGCCTAAAGGTCTAACTAAAAAATTCCAACATGGCCCGGAGACATATTACGAAGACACTCTTTGGGTAAGAAGGCTTATAACAATAAGAATAACAGAGCTTGACTAATTCTTCGGAGAAAAAAAAAATCTTTGGAGTATGTGCAGGAATGACCTTGTGCTTGGCCGTTAGGGGAGTGTAATCATATATCATTTAGCAGATATTTTGCATCGAGAGCAAGACTGAGCAGCTCTATATGGTTTCAACAATTTGGCTGGTTAAACCCAAACTGGTTTCAACTCCGGACCACAAAATTTTGGGCCCAGTGATGATAAGAAGGAATGTATTCAAAACTTCAAGCAATGAAAAATACCGAGTGATCTGTGAACATCTTGTCTGACTATATACTAAGTATAACCCCCAAACAGTCTCAAATCCACTCCCTTTACCGAGATCTTTGGACTTACATTGATAAAGGAAATGCCATTTCTGGGATGGGCCATTTTTGGAAGACTGCGGATTCTGGTAGGAGAAACCACAGTTGAAAGGAGCTACCTGATTTCAGTGTTAACAAGAGGATTCAAGGGTGGCAGAGGCCGAGTAGCTTCACAAAAGACAATATCTCTTCACAGAGATAGAATGAGCATTATTTCCGTCATTGTCAGTAGTATCAGCATGCTAATATGAATGTTCTGACTCAAATAGATTTTCAATAGGGATATTGATATTAGGGTCACCGGGACCAAACTAGCCAGATTACACAGGACTGAGGACCAAAGGATAATTATTCCTAAAAATCTGCTTGCAATTTTTTTTTAACTTCTCATCCTTGCATGCTTGGTTAAATTGCTTGAGAATGAGACCTTGGCCTCAGTCAGTACACTGGGCTCAGCTACCTCAGTTTGTAAGTTTTAGGTAGTTCCACAAAACAGAGAGCTCCTGCAAACTGCAAATTGTGCAGACTGAAGCAAAAGGACCCTGGAATGCACTGAGGAGGAGGAGGGTCTGTGTCCCTGTGTGTCACAGCTGGGGAATTGCATGTGACTTAGTTGGGCAGGTAGGGACTCTCTCTAGAACTGCTACATTGAAAGATGACTCAGGAATCCGGAGATGGAATAGATTCATTCATCTCAGTAGTGGTGATGGTGGTCTGTGGCTTAGGCTGATGCTGCTCTGTAACCTGATTCTGCTCTGTAACCTGCTAGGCTATAGGTAACCTGTAGCCTAGCAGGAATCCTTGGTTACTTCTTGTTTTCCAAATAAGGCTGTTATCTCCAGGCTTGCTTCAATTCCACGAGCTCTCAATCTTTGTATTAAACTACCTTGACACAAGAACAGAAAACCAAACACTGCATGTTCTCACTCAGGCGGGTGTTGAACAATGAAAACACATAGACACAGGGAGGGGAGCATCACACACTGGGGCCTTTTGGGTGGGGAGACTAGTGGAGGGACAGTGGGGGGTTTGGAGTCAGGGAGGGATAACATGGGGAGAAATGCCAGATATAGGTGGTGATGGGGATGGAGGCAGCAAACCACATTGCCATGTATGTCCCTATGCAAAAATCCTGCATGTTCTACACATGTACCTCAGAACCTAAAGTGCAATTAAAAAAATATATATATACACACATACACACACACACGAAAGAGAAAAACCCTGCCTTTTGCTTAAGATAGCCAGATTTAGGTTCTGTTGCTCCAACCAAAAATGCAGTTAATTAAATGCAAAAGATAATTTTAGTTTTTTAAACTTAAAAAATTATTGTAGTTGAAAGTGTCTCTCTTCCAAAGTTGAAAACTTTATTTTCTACTAAGAGGTCTTCAAATACTGTGGAGAATCAAGTTATCTTAGATCAACTGAATATTATTTTATATTTTTGGGCTTTCATGTTTCTAAATCTCACCTTTCCTCTTTCCCAGTACATCATCATACTCATCAGAGAATCACAAGCGCAGGATCATACATTTCTGTGTTATCACATTGTTGACAAAATTCCTTCTCAGAGGCATTAAAAAAAAGCTAAGTATTTACTTTCAGCTCTGGAAATGGAGTGTTTGAGTGGATTGATCACTTGTAATTTATAACCTCAAGTCTAATACTCATTAGTTCACCGCTTCAGTTGCTCCATTCATGAAATGGAGAATTTCATAGCATATATTCTTATTCCAAACACATTCCTCATAATTCTTTTTTGAATTTTTAAAGAATCCATAGAGAAACATATAAATGTAATAAATGTCTCTACTCAAATGCATTGTACTAATCACATCAAAAGGATTGAGTCTGAATTTTCATGTTCGTATTTCCTTTCAGATACTTTATTACCTGTGAAATGTTTCCACATTTCTGCCTTATTTTAAGGATAAATGACAGACCTGTTTTCCTCAACCTTATCCTGAAGTATCTCTGAGAATCAAACAATAGGGAGGTATGTAATATTCAGATGTGCGACTCTCAGCTTCTTGTTGAATAACTTTCTGGGTTCAGTAAGAAACCTATGGACAAATAGTACCTTTTCTTTGCTTGCTTGCTTGTTGTTTTTTCTTCCTCCAGCTCTCTCTTCTTCTGTTTTCATCTTAAATTCCTCTTCTTGTATTTACTAGCTTGAACTGGAATATGGGTGTTTTCAATCAGTACAACAAATAAAAGCCATTTAAAAATGAATGGTATCATGCTTCTTTGGCTACTCAGAGCATCAACGGTTTGAAGGAGAGAATGTGTCAACATAAAAATGTGGGGTAGTTGGTTTTCTATGTCTCAGAGCCTGCTGTTAACCTGAGTAAGCTCTGCTAGATGCTTGCATTCAGAGCAAGGCACAAATTCAGGAAAAAGGCAGCAGGTGACCCTGGAGAGGTCTCCCTGTATTACGGAGTTTCCATAACACAGGAAAGAGCTCTTCTGTGTGATGACAGAGTGTGCTGGTGCCCATGTGGCCTGCCTGTTTGCTTGTATCTTTGATTATTTGCTATTTCTGGATTCTCCTATTCCTGTTCTAGCCACAGGTAGAGCACAGTGTAACTGAGTGTTGGAGTCCCTGAGAGTGAGATGGCTTATTTGGATATTTTCCTTTAGTGGGTGGCTGGACTTTGTCGATTCTATATTCCTTTTGCCAAACTAGACTTTCTTTTTCACCTGAAGCTGAGTTTGTTCAGTATGTCTCCATCCCAGCAGTTGTGTTGATGTCCAAGTTCCAGCTGCTCCTATCTTACCCTGTTCAGCTACTGTTGGCCAGGTGGTATCAGGTCATGCCCTGGAAGATGGAAAAATTCCTCTGTCACATCTACTTTATTCTAGGGTATATGTTGGTGATTTTTTTGTGCTTTGATTTTTACTGGGCATCCAGCCCTTTGATAACCAGATGCTACTTGTGTTTATATGCAAATCAACCCATAACCCTAACAGCATTCTGCATATAACTTCAGACAGTTATGGAGTTCCTTAGCAGGATGTTCCTGGGAATTAACTCTACCTTCTGTTGCAGTAGCATCCGTGTTTAATCTCTGTCATGCTGTGATCCTCCAGGTGAGCAGGGTGTTTTCACATGAGACTCTGGATTAAGGTCTCTCTTGCCTCTAGCCCATCTGCCACATTCATCTTCCCCAGGAATGTAGCTTGATTCTGCCAGAGCCCTGGCAGGTGGCAAATGACTTCCTATAACCTGTAGAATAATGTTCTGAGTCCTTGGGATGACCTACACATCCCCTCACAGGATGCCTCAATTTGCCTGCTCAAGGTATTTCTGACAACTCCTCTGATAGTCACTAATGATAGAGATGAACTGAATAATTGCATTGCGCTCTCCTCCACTCCATGGTTTTCTACTTTTGTGCCTCTGCACATACTGTCAGCTCCATGCTTTTCCCTAGGAAAATTCTACTCATCCTTCAAAGTCTATTTCAAATGCTCTGAAGATTTTCTTAATCTCTGCAACTAGAGATGGTCTTGTTCTCCTTTAATTACAGGCCATTACACCATGGCCTGTAATCTCAGCACTTTGGGAGGCTGAGGTTGGTGAATCACCTGAGGTCATGAGTTCAAGATCAGCCGGCTAACATGGTGAACCCCTGTCTCTACTAAAAATACAAAAAAAAAAAAAAAAAAGTTAGCTGGGTCTGGTGGTGCATGCTTGCAATCCCAGCTTCTCGGGAGGCTGAGTAGGAGAATTGCTTGAACCTGGGAGGCAGAGGTTGCAGTGAACTGAGATTGCGCCACTATACTCCAGCCTGGGTGGCAGAGCGAG